TGATTGGAAGCCTACCAAATGTGAAGGTTGTGGATCGCTTGTTCACCCCTTTGCTCTCTGCCCCAAAAATCCAGCTCCAAAGACGTCTCTGCCCACAAAAACTGTTCTTAGGGGAATAAGCAAAAGTAGAAATCCCTCTAAACTCCTCAGTCCACCATCTCGTGGCAAATCTTCTATTCCCAAAATCCCCCCTTCCATCCCAACTGTTCCTACTAGTATTAACGTAGATAAGCCGGTTGAACAATTATCTAGTGATGTAAATGAAGCTTCTCCCAAGCTTTTGGTTACAGCAAGCTCACCTGGTTTTGGCTCTAAACCATCAAATAAGTCTAATTCTTCCCTTCCCAATCTCAATCTCCCGCAGCCAGCTACTTCGTCTACATCTGTTCACAGTGATCATTTAAACCTGTTGCCGCCACAGGTTATTCTTGCTAATAGCTTTGATTCTCTTCCGTTAGAGGATCCTCTTGACGAAGTGATTCCGGTTGAAAATCCTGATGGGAAACCTAATGTGGATGAGGATTTCCTTTCCTCATCCAAAGCTGGTGTCACGACCCGACCATCCTGATTTCGTCCAGACAAACCATACAGCCAAACATGATTTTCTCTGCACAACCTGTACCGATCGTCCCGGACGATCCGACTTCGTCCGGACGAACCTGGAGCAAAAACTGATATTACAGCTGGAGAGGTTGTTCAGCCTTCACCGACCAAAATCAATACATCCCCGACTTCCTCCACCTCTACTAAGGTGTCTGTCCAATCCAAATCACCTTCCAAAAAAGGGAAATCCAAAGCCAAAACGGCCAAGAAGGCCAAACCTCACAAATAATCATGTTCATGCCTCCTATCGCTGCCTGGAATGTCCGGGGATTTAACAATCCTTTAAAAGTCAAGCTCTGCAAAGATCTCATTGCTGCCCACAACATTAAGCTTCTTTGTGTCTTGGAAGCTAAGATTTCTACTTCTTCGGTTTCTGATGCTTGGTTCTCTTTCTCTCACTCATTATTTGAGAATGAAAATTGTTGCGATAACTTCATCCATTCTAATCCGGGTAGAATATGGGTCAAATGGGATGCTGCTCAGGTGTCTTTCACCCCTTCTTTCTCGTCTTCTCAAATTATTCATAGTCTGATTAATATTGGTTCCCAGCCCCCTTTCTTCACGTCTGTAGTTTATGCTGCCAATACTACGGAGGAAAGGAAAGTGCTTTGGAAAGATCTCCTTGATCTTTCCTCCAACTTAAGTAGCCCGTGGATCATTATGGGAGACTTAAATTGTTTCAGGTTTGATGTGGAAAAAGCAGGTGGCAACCCGGTGTCTAATGATAGGTTGGGAGAGCTCAATAACTTTGTTTTTTATTCTGGGGTTCAGGACCTTGCTTCGGTGGGACTTCACTTCAATTGGTTCAATAATAGGACGGATAATCTGATTCATATTAAACTTGATAGAATGTTGGTTAATTCTGCATTCTTGGACTCTTTCCCCACGGCTTTTTACAAAGTGGAATCTTTTTCTGGGTCTGATCATGTTCCTCTAATTCTTAATACTGTTCCTTTTAAGAAAACTTCTTCTAGGTTCATGTTTAAGGAATTTTGGACCAATTTTGATAATTTTTGGGAGTTGACGCAAAGGGCTTTTGAAAGACCTATTACTGCTAGTCCTATAGCTGCTTTTTTGGATTGCTTGAGATCTCTTAAAAAAGATATACGTAGGGAGAATTGGAATTCCTCTAATTTCCTCTCCAATGGCATTTTTGAGCTCAAAAACTCACATCTCACTTGTCTCTCTGAGATTCAAAGAGATCCTTTGAATGTGGCCTTAAACTCACATCTTAAAGAAACTACTGAAAAATTGGCTCTGTTACAGTCTGCTTGGTACTCATGGGTCTCTCAACGTGCTAAAGCCTACTGGCTTTCTCAAGGGGAGGATGATCTTGGTTTTCTCTATGCTAAGATTAAATCAAGGAAAAACAGGAATGTTATCAGAGAGCTCTCCTCACCTTCTGGGTTACTTACTTCACATGATGACATCGCCAAAGCTCTTATAAATCACTTCAAGACTCTCTTCAATGCCCCATCCTCGATTTCTGAATGCACTCACAACATTCCTGTTGGCAAGGTCGTTCCTTCTCAATTTTTGGATGGGCTTGTGATGACGGTTTCTAATGAGGAGATCAAAGGGGTGGTTTTTGAGGGGGTCCCTTCCTCTGCTCCTGGGCCGAATGCCTTTTATCAAAAAACTTGGCATTTAACTGGTTTTCTTTTGTGCAAGGCTGTTAAATACTTCTTCTCCTCTGGACAACTGCCTAGGGGTGCTAAAGCCACTGCCATCACTCTCATTCCTAAGGGTACTCACTCCAACTCAATCTCTGATTTCCGTCCCATCTCATTATGCAATGTTTTTTTATAAAATTGTGGCTAAGATCTTAGCTAATAGGATGAAATGCATCCTTCCTCACATTATTCACGAGAGTCAATCTGGTTTTATTGCTAAGTATGTTCTACTGACAATATTATTCTTGCTTATGAGTTGTTGAGAGAATTTAAAGGTCCCAAAAACTATTTCTGTGCTAAGCTTGACATTAGGAAGGCCTTCGACTCCGTTTCCCGTCCGTTTTTTATCAACAGGCTTAAGCAGAAGGGTTTTCCTGATGTATTCATTGGCTGGATTAATGCTTGCATTTCTGAGGTTTATTTTTCCATCTGTCTGAATGGGTCTTTAGAAGGGTTTTTCAAATCTTCATCTGGACTGAGGCAAGGTTGCCCTCCTTCCCCCCTTCTTTTCTGCATTGTCATGGATGGGCTTTCCTGTTGCTTGGATTACATGGAGAACAATTATTTCTTAGGTATGCAGAATCTTAATTTGAATATTAGTCATCTAATGTATGCGGATGACCTTCTGATGTTTGGTCAAGCAAATGTGGATAATGCTAGGTCTTTAAATGAGATGCTTGAGAAATTTTCTATGGCCTCTGGGCTTATTATTAACCCTTCTAAAAGCAACATTCTCTTTTCAAAGAACTCTCTTGTTGATCAGCAAATCTCGGGTATTCTAGGGATTTCTCAAGTGCATTGCAGTATCACTTATTTAGGGATCCCTATCTCTACTCAAAGACTCAAATTATCTCACTTCCAACCCCTCATGAGTAGAATTTCTACTCTTCTTGAGGGTTGGAAAGTCAAATTCCTTTCTTTTGCAGGAAGAGCTCAATATCTCAAATTTACTATTACTAGCACCATTGCGTACTGGATTCGAGGGGCAATTTTACCTAAAGTTTGCTGTAAATTCATCTCTAGAATTTGCTCTAAATTTCTTTTCTTTGGTAACACTGTGGACAAGAAAATGCATCTTATTTCTTGGAGGTCAGTTACTTTACCTAAGAAGAAAGGGGGGCCCTGCTTGCCGTCTTTTGATTCTCTGTACCACAACATGGCTTGTTCCTTCTTATTTAGAATGTATAATCAAGAGACGTTAATTGGTGCTTGGTACAGGACTAAGTTTGATTCCCCTTGGAAATTACCCCATTTTACTGCATCTAAATTTTGGAAACTTTTCAGTCAAACTGCCATTCTTATTAAACCGGCTGTTACTTTTTTGGTTCACAAAAACTGTAAGCTTTCCTTTTTATGGGATCCATGGTGTAACAATAAATCGGTAGCTGAAATGCTGGATTACATTGGGAATGCTCACCTTTGAGTTAAAGATTTTATTGTGCATAACTGCTGGTTTTTACCTGATTACATTCCTGAACAAGTTAAGTCCTCTATTGTAAACACGGAAATTATTGGGGATGGTCCTGTTATGACCTGGATTACTGCTGCTACTAATTCCAAGCCACCAAACATGATATTTGCTAAATATTTTTATGGTAATCTGGATAACTTACCTTGGTTTAAATTCATTTTGGCATAAAGGCTTTGTCTTACGTTATGCCTCTTTCTCGTGGATGGCTGTTAAATGGAAACTTAAGATGGCTGATATTCTGATTTTGAGGGGTATTCCTGCTAACCCCAGTTGCTCTTTTTGTGATAGTAACATGGAATCCCACCTGCATGTTTACTTTGAGTGTGATTACTCTTTCTCACTTCTAACTGCTCTTTTTCCTGATATGGTTAAATTTTATTTGAGGCCAAATCTTATTCAAGTATATGATTACTTTGAGAGCTACCGAAATTTTACTAGAGCTGAAAAAAAATTTTGTTTCTTTTATGTGGCGGTTTTGGTGTACCACCTGTGGAGAGAAAGGAACAATAGGCGATTCTCAAATGTTTAGAGAAATCCTGTGGAGCTTAGAAGCGCTATTATTCTTACTATTGTTGCTAAAGTTAGAAATTGGAGACATTATGACTTGCTTAAAGATAAATTTAGGGATATTCTGGGATGATTGGCTGTTTTTAGCTGACGGTCTTCTTTTTGGTTGGCGGCTTCTCCATTCTGCTAATAAAATGTGTTACCAAGTCGCTCCTTCTTTCTGTTATCTGCTGGGAAGGGAAAATTTTGTTGATATTTTTGGCATCTCTGTTCGTTGTTCCAACTTCTGGAGTTTTGATTGTCTTCCTTCCAGAATTTGCATTGCGGGACTTACGTGGGATGCTTGCAGATATGGGACAATGATGTGCCAGATTTACATCTGTTATGCATCATTGGATGGTCTTTTGGCAACCAGGATGTGTTCTTTGGGCACTATGATGGTCTTTCAGTTGTTTTTTTTTTTTTTTTTGGTAGGCAACCGGTGTCTTTTTGTGGGCTTGGTGATTTAATGTAAATCTATTTTCCTAAGTCCTTATCTGCAAACTTTTCTTTTCTTTGGGGTGATATAGTTTTTATTTACTTACTTGTATGTTCTTTTACTTGTAATCTTTGGTGATTAATTTAAGGGCTTTGCCCCCAATTTTCTCAAAAAAAAAATTATTATTATTTTTTCAAAATATCCATCTCTCGCACGTGCGAAGTACGACGCGGTACTTCCTTGATCTCACACACTTCTCTCCTCCTCGCTATTACCGCGCGTCCGCGCCCACACCGTTCCGCTTGTTCCGCTATCTTCCTCCTTCCGCTCGTGTGAGTGCCAAGTATTTGTCCTCCGCCCCCTCCGTCTCTGCAGCACCTCCACTTTGCCCATCCACCTCCTCTTTACCTCTATGAAATCCAGCTGAAGAAGAGAATATGGGAAAGTACATGAGGAGGGCCAAAACCACAGGGGATTTTGCAGTCATGGAGGTCTCATCCAAATCATCTTTTGGTGTCCGCACTCGGGCCAAAACCCTAGCTCTTCAGCGGCTCCAGAATTCCTCGCCCTCTCCGGACGATTCTTTCTGCTTCCTCCAGCTTAGGAGTCGGCGCCTCGAGAAGTTTCTGCCGTCGGTGATAAAGCCTAAGGACGCCTGCAAGGAGACCGTGAGATCGAGCGCTAAGCCTAGCCCTAAACTTACTCTGATGGCGGATTCCGGCTCAGTTCGTCGGAGCAGAGCATTGGAACTGACACCTTGCTCTGGCGGCATCAATTTCGGCTCAGCTACCTCGCAATCTCCGCTGGTGAATGGTGCTGAGGTTGAGGTTGAGGTTGAGGTCTCTTGTGGGGAAAATATGCTCGAGGTTGAAGAAATGAATAGGTTGGTCTTCTGCTCTCTTTCTCGTCCCCGGATTGCGCGGGAATGCCAAACTAGGGTTTGCCCTTTTTTTCTACTTTCCATGCCAATTACGATTTATGTTTTTTCTTGACAAACTGCTATTTTATTATCTAATTAAATATTATTTTCAAAGAATTATTTCCAAAATCTTTGAATTTTATTTCTTCTAAAAGAAAAATAAAATTAAGGTGATTTCGGCAATGCATGTTCAGAAATCTATTTCATAGCAATTTCTTCTACATATTTTTATTTTTATGGTTAGAAAACCATCATCTTCTTTCAATTTCTTTATTTTTCAGTATTCATTTCGTTACCTTCTAGCTCCGATTGCTTGATACTCCACCTGCCTGAATTGCCCATTTATATCCGATTTTGAAATAATTTTCAAGTTGAAATTTGGGGAACCTTTTATTCTAGGTAAAAGTTTTATCTTTTAATTTTATTTTATCCGTATTTAATTAAAATTTTTTGAGCATTAAGAATGACACATGTGGATCTCATTCATTTATTATGTTTCTTAAAATGTTTTGAGTTTGTTTATAGTTTTGATTCTCTGGTATTGTAATATCCACTTAATTGTTCTGGTTTCGACGTGCACTCTTCTTGCTGCAAATTCAAATTTTTGACAGGGCAAATAAAAATTTTAGTCCTTCATGAGCGTTCCAATCTCTTATAAATTTTACATGTTGTTTTCTGAGACGATTGTTCATTGCACGATATTCTTTGAATTATTGCACGATAGTCTTCTTTGAAATTGACTGATGCAGTTTTTGTGCTTTGCTATAAGACAATATGTACTTATCTCTCATGTTTGTTTACCTATATTCCCACTTTTAATTAATCGTGTGAAATTAGTTGTCTACCAATGTCTATTGTCTTTCTATTCGGATTGACACTACGGCTCTGCTTGGTTTGAAGGAATTTAAAGAGAGGAAATGAAATGTACTTTTTTTCATTTTGGGAAATTAATTAACAGGAAATAGAAATAGAAATGAAAATGAAGAAGAAATTCAATTGAAAGTACTTTTTACCCGTTTGTTTGGATGAATAGAATTTGAGTGTGTGTGTATATATATATATATATATATATATATATATATATGCTCAATTCATGAAAATTTAATTTCTTGCTTTGAGGGCGGTGTGAGTCAAAGTCATGACCACATAAATTTTCTTCATATTTTTCACTGGAGTAATGGAAAAATTCACTTGTTCATATTTCCAGATAATAGCCTATTACCTAGTAATTACATTGGAATGAAACACCTAAAATGAAATTATGAAATTAAATACTTTTGCATTACCTACAATCCCTTCAAACCAAGTATCCCTACTTTATGACATTTAACTATGCATTGTAATGAGAAATGTCAATTACTACTTTATCACATTTACCTATGCATTGTAATGAGAAATGCCAATTACTACTTTTATTGTCTTTATCATTGTTTGTACTATGAAGCTTCATGATCACATTTGAAATATCTACTATATATTTTTTTAGCCATATGGGTTATACATAGGTCGAATGAGTTGTATGGTAAATTCATTGATGCCACAGTCTTCATGGAGGTTCTGGTATTTATGTTTGTTAAAGTTGGTCTTGAACTGTAGTTTTCAATCCATGAGATCAGCCGTGTAAAGTGGTTTGCATGGATGGAATGCAAAATTGCACCATGCAATTTCCATTGTAATCGGAGAGAATCGAATTCCCAATCTAAACGTGCAGGGCTTTTGTGTGAAAGCCTTTTGACATTTTCACTCTTGAGGTAGCTTCAGACATTTTGCTTCTGTTTTGTCCTGATACAGTTGATTTATTATGCAAACTTTGGCAAGTTGCATTGAAAACAATGTGGGTATGAGCAAAAGGCCACGATCAACATGTGGATATCATCTTCAGTAGTAGAGCTCTTGTTGGTACTAATGGAGGTTAGTTAGAAACATGCTATGCATAGAGGCCTATTTGTCATAGTGGACAGCGAGCAGTGTTAACGGTGTAATATCATGCTATTGAAACATAAACAGTTTGGGTTACTGATTCGAACCAAAATTTGTTCACTTATTCGAAGAAAAGTTTGGGGCATTGACTCAAGCAGATAAATGTTTTATAAAATAAAAAATTTAACTATGAGAGCATATAACGTGATTGAATCAAGGATTGTAGGAAGTTGGCTGCTTGTTTTTGGTTTTTTTTATTCAACATCTTTTTTAGGGGGACTGATTAGGATCTACTTCTTTACCTTTTAATTTATTTATTTCATTGCAGAATCTGAGACAGGACAGAAATGTTTGGCGATTGCTTTAATGTTTATTACAAATTCTGGTAAAAGTTTTAAGAAATTCAATTATTCAGGTGCATAGCTATTAATTCGGGTTTTCCATTTTCACTTTTTCTGTAGGAAAACAAGGGAAACCACACCTACCAGTCTAATAAGGAATTCAGAGGACATAGGGACGCCTGTTTCTTCAACGAGACCTTCCAACTCGACAATTAGCAACAGGAGTTCAGTTCATAGGAACATTCCAACCACCAGGGAGATAGATGAGTTTTTTAAAGGAGTAGAGCAATCACAACAAAAATTATTTACAGAGAAGTATATATATCCTTACTAAATATTATCTGCTTTAGTTAGTCCTTAGTACATAAAAATCAAATTAAATTTTTTTTCTTCTAGAATCAATGAAACAAAATAAAAAAACACTGCCCCTGCCCGGTCTCAGATTGTGAAAATACTTGACAGCAAAATCATTTATCACTTGATAATGAGAGCAGCTTAGGCCGTCGTGACTTGCTTATAATTATTAGTTTTTTAGGAACTGCTACATGTTTAGCTCATGTTTTCTTTCTCTGTTTCTTTGCCTCAACTTGTAGGTACAACTTTGATCCGGTGAATGACTGTCCGCTCCCGGGTCGGTATGAATGGGTCAAGCTAGTGTAGCGAGCACTCTGCGTTCCGGCGCCTCTTTTTCACTCAAAGGATCATTTAGCTGTAGAACTTGAAGTAGTGATGATTCTTAACACCTACTTTTTTCTATGAGTACTGCTGACTCTAATGTTACCAAGCTGATGATTTAGTGCAAAAAAGGTAAAGAAACACAAGTTAACCCAAACAATATTGTTCTGATAGTTAGCTTAGGATTGTTGTTAGGGTTTTTTAGCTTGTCAATTTTTGCCTATGGAACGTGATATGGTATCACTATCAAGTGCAGGTGCCATGCACCTTGTATCTTGTGTATAAAGCTTCTGATTGAAACAAAAAAGTTCTGTAGTAATAAATTGCCCATTCAACCTCTTTTTCCTCAATCTTCAAAGAATCTTTCATTATCATGATGATGATTGTCTATATGCGGCCTTTGTCTTTGATTTTGTTCCATGTGAATGTGGTTCTACTTCTTATTTTTTATTTTCTTGATCTTTGCTTTTGGCGGCCATCACTATCACAGTAATAATGGTGCCATATAAGCTGTCAGCACATCAAGAATCTTTTTGGGCTATGACTTGGCAACTTGCCATTTTTATATTTTCTTGAGGGTCCATTTGATGTTCTGATGGTAGAAAACATGTTTTTGATGTTAGAAAATATGTTCTAAAATATTATCAATTTTGTTTGATTCATCATTTCATTAAATGAGTTAGAACTCGATATTTGATCTTAGATTCCAAAAATCCCGCTAAAACTTTTTAACTATAAGGATTTTGTTTCCAACATAAAAGAAAATAAAATTGAAATGCTTATTTTGTCATTATATTTTTCTATTTATAAGCTACCAAATGTATCCTTTAGGTTTATTAATCTGTGAAAAATAATCCCCCATGGTTCTTTTCACTCTTAGAAGTTCACTGAACAAAGTTTTTTTTTTTTTTTTCTTTGAATATTAACTTTTTCTACATGTCATGTTCTATCCAACTTTTGATGGGACGGTTGAATGTGGGTAGAAATAGTGTTCAATTTGTTTTTTACCGGTGGCTAGTTGGAGGTTACAAGGATTTTGTTTTGGCCAGTATGTTATGTGGTCCATGACTGCTTTCCTTTCTCTTTAACACTAGCTTTTAATCTTGGAATCAGAACTTGTGCCCACTAGCTGGATCAATCTGTAGCTAAATTCAACCATGTGTATCAGCTTTATTCCAGGGCTTCTTTTCAAGGCTTGCAGTACTTTATGATCTGCACAAATAGTATATATATTTTTTTAAAGATATTAAAGTCAGTTAAAATAAATTTACACATATACCATCACATATATAAGATTTCAATTCAAGATCTCTTGATTCATAATGATGCCTTCTAACCAATATATCATGATGAGCTGTGTACTGTACAAATAATGAATAGAATTCAGTATCTGCCTACCTTGATGAGAATACTGTGTTATTTTTCCCCCAAAAAAGAATGTATAGTACTTGTTTTTTAAAAGATAGAGCTTTTAGCCATGGTCATTTTTCATAATTCATAAAAAAATTGAGTGCTGAGCCTTAAGTAGCCAAATTACATTATATATATATATATATATATAAAGAATATTTCTGAAAGATTATTTAGAATAAAATTATCTTATATATATTTACAAACTATTTGTTAAATTTGAAGTCATTTTAAACCTTTTCAACATTTTCACTATGAAAAAGGTTAATGACATATGATATGGCATAGCACGTTGATCAATATAATTAAGTTAAGAGTTCAATTACAAGAGTCATGTTTAAAACTCAAGGAATAGATCAAAGAAAAATCCAATTATATAAGCTCAATCAAGAGCTCAAAATTTAGAATATTTTTAAGATAATATTTATTTATTTTTATAAATTTGTTTTTTCGCCTATGAATATGTATAGCCGACCTTAACATAAAGGAATGATTAAAAATGTTGATTGAATCTCATCGTTCATTAATGGGCACCAACCCCTTTTCCTACTATTTTTTTCTCTCTCCAAACGTATTAGCTTAAGAGTGATGTTATGCTCATAAATATTAGCTCAAATGATATTTAATTGCAATGATAAATGAAATATTTTAGTAGGGAAATGTTTTTCACTTGCTTTGTGTTACGTAGCTTTAAGTATTTTTTTTTTCTTTGGTGAGGTAGATAGTTATTTTTAAATTTTTTACATTGCTTGCTATTGCTCTTCAACACCTGCTTCAAAATCCTTAAACATCTTCCTCCACTATATAAGCATCCTTGAAGGCAACTAAATCAACAACCAAATTCTTACATTTATCCAAATCCCCTTATTGAAGCTCTTGGCCAAACTAGGAGAGCTAAAACCTAGTCTTATTTCCTACAATTTAACACCCTCTTAAACTCCACAACATATTTCCATCTTTTCTACATCACAAGCTAAAATCCTAAGTTAGCTATCCACCATAAACTCTAATCATTTACATCACTTAAAGCACATTCCCTAAAATGATAATCTAATTTAGTTTAAACTAGGCAAGTTATGCAAATCTTAACATTCCTTCCTCCAAACCCCTCATATTTTATCCTCAAATCTCAAGTCACATACTTTGACCTTAAACTAAAAAACTCGTAGTTATTTTTATTTATTAATCATATTAAAAGGACAACATCAATATCTAATAAAATAAAATGTAATATAAAAGTTCCAATTTAATCCTCTAATAAAGATAGACGGTGAAGGACAAAAGAGAGAAGAGAGCGGGGAAGAGGAGGCATCCACCTTTATTTGAGTTTGGTCTAAAAAATTATAAAATTTACTGCATAGTCCTAGGTGGTAAGCTTTTATAAAAGAAACATTGAATTAAAAATGGCTGCCCAAAGAACCACTATAATCATTTAAGATTGATATTCAACCCTTTTTTTACTTTTAGAGAGAAGCAATTATGTTTGAAAGATACATGATTTTGTTTGATTGATGCTAAATAAGATATTCTTTGATAAGTCTAATAGTGGGTAGAAAATGCCCTAATAAAATCATTAATAGGAGATGTTGCATTAGAGGCCTCATTGAAACATCTTAGTCCAATGAAGTTTGAGCTAGTTGATAGGTTGTAAGCAGGAGTTATCAACTATAGAGTTGATTGATGTTGTTGAAGATGATAGTTATAAGGTTAGGCAAATAGCTAGTCCCTGATGACATTAGAGTATAGTTAATAATGAAGCTGATCAATGTTTACTTCGAAGGCTATCTAAAAGAGATTTTATTGATTAGAATGTTGGAAAGTGAATAAATAATCATGGACATTGTGAAGAGCAAGTTAGTGAGTTGCCTAAGTAACATAATCTTTAGATGTTGATCAATATTTGAGGAAGATGAACAAATGTTGAGTGAATTTATTGGTAGATGATCAACATATTTTTTAGTAGAAGATGATTGAATAACATCAAAAGATGATGCTAAGAGAGACCTTAGTTGGGAGGAATGCCACCATACAAAAAGCCAAAGGATTTGATGGACTATTGAGCATTTGTGGTTTTGAGTAGAGAGTTTTGAATAATGATAACAAAAGCATTAGCAAAGAAGTCTAAGTAAAGGAGATGGATGCTATGTGCATATAGCATAAATTCAGGATGTGCATAGGAGTAATGGTCATAAGTTGACCTATGGGCACCATAAGTGATAGCTTTCAAAATGGGAGGGATAAATTTGTAGTGTCATTCATGAGTTACGATTCTTTACAATGGGTTAATAAATCTTGGCGATTAATCCTTTAGAGTTACTTTTAGGCTAAGCCATAAAATTAAATTGATCTATTAACTTAGTGTAGGGAATAATTGTAAAAGAATTTAAAGCTCAATAATTGTTTATCATATCCTTAACTTAGATTGTTCTGTAGAATTATGTGTTATTTTGAGATACAACTATGACAATCATTAGATATTTTTTAAAAAAATAGGGGAAAGCAAAAAACAATTATTTATTTTTCATTATATATAAAAGATTAAAACACAGAAAAAAAACACAAAATATAGAGATAAGAAAAATTATTACATAAAAAATAACAAACTACAATCAACCATCTACTCTCTCTTTTGACATCACCAAAAGGAGAGGAAAATAAACAAAAAACACATTCGCAATAAATATTATGAGGACTCTAATAAGACAAGAAATCATAGAAGTATGATCCTTGATCAGGTGGTGGTGGTTAGAAATATCGATGAATATTATCAAATTGCTCACCAAACCACGCCATGTCATTCTCTTGCTGTTGCTGCTAAATGTGACAATCTAGTCGAGATTCCAATCGATCAAAGAGTTATATCAACACGTCATAGGAATACAACTAGTATTCTAGTGCAGATGTTGGTATTGATGCTGGTGTTGGTGCTGATGCTAGTGCTAGATGGTCTCCCCCTTCCTCATTAAATTCTAGCTATTTTTCGAGCTGATCCCTTTGGTGATGATGAAAGAAGACATGGAAAGATCCATTAGAGTAGAAAATAGGAAATTTATCTGTTGTTGTGGGATATATATGCTGATATTTCTAGTCCAACACATAAGCAATCTGATGACCTAGTGCTAGGTTGTGCTTATGATGAGTTGAGCTTGAGTGAAGGGAAGTGAAGTTATATATTTAAGAAATGATCATCTGGGATTCATCAAAAATATTGCCAGACATAATTAAGTACGTGACTACAAATAAGAGGCATGATATTTACCCTATCACTAGCTTTAAGAAAAATTAAAGTCTAAAAAATATGCTGGATTACATGAACATTTTGATTTAGTGACAAGATAAGTGGTTGGTGTTAATTTCGAGGAGCATTACTAATGGATAGATTTATAGTGGTCCAGCCTTTGTCTCATCTAGGTGAATGGACATGGGTTTAACCCCTTTAGTAGATAAGTGGAGGTATTCAACCAAATCTTATTTAATAATTTCTATGGGTCATATACAAATATATAAAGTCATGTAAAAGAAATTTACAGATACTAATAGATCAAAGAAAAAATAAAAAAGAAGTTCAAAATTAAAATGAAATGCTAGGGTGAGAAGGAATTATAGAGTGCATATAACAAAGAGATTTATTACCCAATAACTAAGAACTGACTAGTTAAGAATGCAAGAAGGGATAATTAGAGCTTCATGTATCTCTGATAGATAGCTTTTTCTTCCACTATTTAAAAGCGATTGTCAGCAGGATTACGAGAGGAACTACCTTGGAGAAGTTGACAAGCTCACTTGCACCAGCCATCAAGAAAATTATGAAATTAAACACATCATTATGAATGATATATCATCTTAGGAGGAAAAAAAATCATTTCATAATGGGTTAAAATTAAAAATTTGTGAGTTCATCCTGATAATCGTAGCTGAATTCAGGGAAGAACCACATATG